CCCCAAGGTGTCCCCAGTGAGCATGGATCTCCAAAAGGTGCGACGGGTGGGGGAAGAGGGGGACAGAGGGGACAGTGGGGGGTGAGGGCACGGGGGTAGGGACGGGGCAATGGGGGATGTGTGGGACAGGGGGCTGGCAGGAGGGGTGGCAACCAGGACAAGAGGCCGACAAAGGGAGAGATGGGTGGAGGGGAACCCCTCGAGGGCACGGCGCCACTGCAGGAGGGCACAAGTGCCACCAGGTCCCTGACACCTTCAGGACCCTGAACCATGGCAGTGTCACCTCCGCCGTGGTGTCCCCTCCCTAGGCTGGGCCTTAGTCACCCTCGGGGCCACCCTGGGACCACCTGGGCTGATGTCAGAGCCGTGGCCAGCGCCTGGCAGGAGTCGGTGTCCAGGCTCATGGACAGATGGGCCCGGCTGGCCAGGGAGGCCACCGAGCTCCGTGCCACCTGCAGGGAGGTGGCCACTGCTGAGGCCACTGCTGCAGCCACCGCCCAGGCCAGGAACTGGCAGGACACGGCCGCCTGCTTGGGGACAGCTCAGGAAAACATGGTGGCCACAGAACAGGAGCTGCCACTGGCCCTTGACAGGGAGGAGGGGCCTTGGCGATGGCTGCGCTCGAGGCCCGGGTAGTGACGGCCACCAACGAGGTGCTGGTGGCCACCGTGGCCATGGGAGAGGCCGTGGTGGCCAAGAGCCAGGCGTTGATGGCCACCAGGAGGGGACAGGAGGTGAAGATGGCCCTGGGGCTGCTGGAGTGCTTGGTGGCCGCGTGTGACAAAGCCACCGCCTTCCGCCAGGAGCTGCAGCGCCTGCTCAGGGACATCGTAGACACCACAGAGGGAACAGAGGAGGAGTCCCCCAATGTCCCCAAGGCCTTGCCAGCCAAGGTGGCCATGGCCAAGTGGCTTTGGGTGACCAATGCACACCTGGCCAAGGATCACCTGCTGGGGACACAAGATGACATCAACAACATCTTCAGTTCTGATGCCAACAGCTCCAGTATCCGTGTGGAGACCAAGAATGCCAAAAAGCCATTGAGGACATCGTGAATTTGCTGCAGGGATGGTGATGTCACTGCCGTGATATCATGGGGGCAGTGACATCATGGGAGACGTTGCTGCGTCACTGCTGTGACATCATGGAGGCAGTGACATCATGGGAGACGTTGCTGCTCTCACCTGTCCCCTCCCCGTGCAATATTTGAGACAAATTTGGGGAATTTTCTGGGAATTTTCATTGATACTGTCGCAAATCTTGTTGGGAACTTCTGGGGTGACGTCACCGGGGACAGTCTAGGGACACTCAGGGACACTCAGGAACACTCAGGGACAGGGCTGAAGGAGTCCCCTCAGCAGCTTCCCGCTCACCGTCCTGAGGGTGGTCAGTGTGCCACGAACCAAGGTCTGCTAGACCTCAGCAGGTGACACCACGATGTCCCCAAGACCCACAGGGCTACCTGGCAGGACACGGCCACCATGGGCAAGGCCAGCAACAGGTGACCGTCCTCAGCCACTCCCTGGGATACTGCGGGGACACAGGGACACTGCACAGGTGGTACCAGGGACACAGCAGTGCCACCCGTCCAGTGCCACCAGTTCTGTCCCAGACTGGTGACACTTGAGTGGCCACAAATCTCCCCAGGGATGTCACTGCCCCAATGACGTCACAGCGGTGACATCACTGTCTCCGCAGCAGCCTTGGGATGTTGTGCCACCACTGCTGTCCCCTCTGCCACCCCCTGCCACCACTGCTGTCCTCTCTGCCACCCACTGCCCGCCCTCCCTGTCCCCTCCCTGCCATGTCCCACCCATCCCTCACTGTCCCCTACCCCCTGTGTCCCCCCCCCACCTCGGTCACCTGTCTCTTTCCTGCCACTCCCTCCTGTCTCCTTTGTGACCCCCCATCCTCTCCTGCCATGCCCCCTTGTGCCCCCAACCTCCATTGCCCCCTTCCCTCACCATGTCCCCTCTGTCCCACTCTGTCCCCGCTCCCCGTTGTACCTCTTGGGGCTCCATGCTCACTGGGGAACTGGCAGGGATGCTCTGGGGACACTCTGGGGGTTGAACGAGCCTTGGGATGTCATTGGTGGCTCTTTGGCACCGCTCGGCCACCTCAAAGCCACTGAGGCTGGCTGGGCCATCATTGAAATAGGACTTGATGTCTGGAAGTGTCCCCACCAGGTGATCCTTGGCCAGGTGGGCACTGGCCTCCCACAGCCGCTCGGCCACAGCCACCTTGGCCACCAAGTCCTTCGGGACATCGGGGGACGCCTCATTTGTCCCCTCCAGGGCGTCCTCAAAGTCCCTGAGCAGGCGCTGCAGCTCCCGTGGGAAGGCAGTGGCTTCGTCACACGCGGCCACCAAGCGCTCCAGCAGCCCCAGGGCCACGTCCACCCGCTGTCTCACCATGGTGTACCTGGTTAACTCACTGGTCTCTCTCCTCACCCAGGCTTCATGCTCGGCCACCACCTCGGCCCCCTCCTCTCTGCCCAGGGCCTGACCCAGCTCCACCACATTTTCCTGCGCTGTCCCATCACGGGCAGCCTTGTCCTGCAGCTTCCTGACCCGGGCGATGACCTGGGCCAACATGTAGGCCACCTCAGAGGCCGCCTCCCTGCAGGCATTGCAGAGCTTGGTGGCCTCCCTGGCCAGCCCGGCCCAGCTGTTGACAAGCGCATTCACCAACCCCTGCCACTTGCTGACCACCATTGTCACATGGAACCAGGTGATGCATGTGGTGCTTTTATAGGCGGCCAGGGCCTGGCTCAGGGAGGTGACAGGGTAATCTTCATCGGAGGTGACATTGTGGCGCCACCAGGTGCCATCAATGCAGTTCAGGGGGGCCCGGAGCCCCCTGGTGAAGGCCACCAGGTCTGAGTACAGGCTCACTGAGGATATGAGCATCATCTTCTCCCGCCTGGGCAGGGTAGCCAGCAGCTTGCCCAGGATGGCCACCACGGTGACCTGTGGCTGCAGCAGGGCTGGGGACAGCTGTGGAGAGTTACAGGGGAGATGTCAGAGACCTCATGGCACTTGTGGCCTCGTGTGGTGGCCCCCTGCTCCCGAGGGGTCCCCTTTGTCCCCTCTATCCCTTTGTCAGCCTCTTGTTGCCTCTGCCACTCCCTGCCCCTCCCCTTGGAGCCCCTCCCACCCCCCGGCCTCACTACGGTCCCCCTCTGCCGCCCCCTGCCACCACACTCCTAGCCCCTGCCACCCCCTGCTGTCCCCTCTGCCACCACCTGCCAGACCCCATGTGCTATACCCTCGTGTCCCTCCCATACCCCATTGCCCTCTCCCCCCCAGTTCCCCTCCACCCCTCTGTCACCTCTCCCCTTCCTGCCACTTCCTCCTGTCCCCTTTGCAAACCCCTCTCCCCTCCAGCCATCCCCCTCTCTCCCTCCCCAGCCCATTGCACCTCTTGAGGCTCCATGTTCACTGGGGACACCTTGGGGACAGCTTGGGGACGTGTCGGGAGTTGAACCAGCCTTGGGATGACCTCGGTGGCTCTCAGGCACCGCTCAGCCACCCCACAGGCAGTGGGACTGGCGGGACCACCAGTGAAATAGAACTTGATGATGCTGTCAACTGTCCTCAGCAGGTGACCCTTGGCCAGGCGGGCATTGGCCTCCCACAGCCGCTCAGCCTCAGCCACCTTGGCCACCAAGTCCTCGGGGACATTGGGGGACACCTCATTTGTCCCCTCCAGGGCAGCCTCGATGTCCCTGAGCCTGCGCAGCAGCTCCCGGGGAAAGGCGGTGGCTTCGTCACACTCGGCCACCAAGCGCTCCAGCAGCTCCAGGGCCTCTTCTACCTGCCGTGTCTCCTTGGTGGCCCTGGTTACCTCGCTGACAGCCACCATGGCGTCTCTCCTCACCCGGGCTTCATGCCCGGCCACCACCTCGACCCCCTCCTCCCTGCCCAAACCCTGACCCAGCTCCACCATGTTTTCCTGAGCTGTCCCACCACGAGCAGCCTCGTCCTGCAGCTCCCTGGCCCGGGTGGTGGCGGTGGCCACCCTGTCGGCCGCCTCAGTGGCCACCTCCCTGCAGATGTTGGAGAGTTCAGTGGCTTTCCTGGCCAGCTGGGCCCAGCTGTCCACAAGCGTGGCCACCGACCCCTGCCACTTGCTGGCCACCGTTGTCACGTGGTTCCGGGGAGTCCCTGGGGTGCTCTTGTAGGCAGCCAGGGCCTGGCTCAGGGAGGTGGGAGGGTCATCATCATTGGAGCGGATATTTTGGTGCCACCAGGTGCCATCAAGGTGGTACAGGGTGGCCCAGAGCCCCCTGGTGAAGTCCGCCAGGCTCCAGTGCAGGCTCTCTGCAGACCTCAGCAGCATCGTGTCCCGCCTGGGCAGGGTGGCCAGCAGGTCATCCAGGGTGACCACCACAGCAACCGGTGGCTGCAGCAGGACTGGGGACAGCTGTGGAGGGGACAGGGGAGGTGTCAGCCCCTCCCTTCATAGCCACTCCCATCCTCTGCCCTTCTGCTGTCCCCTCTGTTAGCCTTGCCAGGACACTCGTAGCCCCTGCCACCCACCGCCAGTGCCTGTATCCCCAACTCCCCATGTCCCCCCATCCACCACTGGGAGATGTACTCCTTCAGCCTCTGTCCAACCTCGTGTTAACTCCTTTCCCCCCCCACCACCCCTCGTGTCCCATCCATCCCCCCGTGCCCCCTCCCCTCCAGTGTCCTCTCTGACCCCCTCTCCCCCCACATCATTGCACCTCTTGGAGCTCCACGCTCACTGGGGACACATTGGGGATGCTCTGGGGACACTCTGGTGGTTGAAGGAGCCTTGGGATGTCCTCAATGGCTCTTTGGCACCACTCGGCCACCCCACAGGCACTGGGGCTGGCAGGACGACCACTGAACAAGAACTTGATGTCTTGAAGTGTCCCCAGCAGGTGTTCCTGGGCCAGGCGGGCGTTGGCGTCCCACAGCCGCTCGGCCACGGCCACCATGATCACCAAGGCGTCGGGGACATCGGGGGACACCTCATTTGTCCCCTCCAGGGCGGCCTCGATGTCCCTGAGGAGGCGCTGCAGCTCCCGGGGGAAGGCAGTGGCTTTGTCACACGTGGCCACCAAGCGCTCCAGCAGCCCCAGGGCCGTCTCCACGCGCTGTCTCACCTTGGTGGCCTTGGTCGCCTCACTGGCAGCCTCCCTGGCCTCTTCCCTTACCCAGGCTTCATGCTCAGTCACCACCTCGGCCCCCTCCTCCCTGCCTAGGGCCTGACCCTGCTCCACCATGTTTTCCTGCGCTGTCCCATAACGGGCAGCCTTGTCCTGCATGTGTCTTTTCCAGGCGGTGGCGTTGGCCTCCTTGTCAGCTGCCTTGGTGGCCACTGTCCTGCAGGCATTGCGGAGCTTGGTGGCTGCCCTGGTCAGCCGGGCCCAGTTGTCCACGAGCGCGGCTACTGACCGCTGCCACTCGCTGGCCACCGTTGTCACACAGTTCCGGGGGGTCCCTGGGGTGCTCTTGTAGGCGGCCAGGGCCTGGCTCAGGGAGGTGGGAGGGTCATCATTATTGGAGGTGACATTGTGGTGCCACCAGGTGTCACCAGTGCGGTACAGGGTGTCCTGGAGGTCCTCGGTGAAGTCCACCAGGTCCCAGTACAGGCGCCCTGCAGACTGGTTCAGCAGCATCATCTCGTCCAGACTGGGCAGGGTGGCCAGTAGCTTGCCCAGGGTGGCCACCACGGTGACCTGTGGCTGCAGCATGGCCGGGGACAGCTGAGGAGGGGACAGGGGAGGTGTCATGGATCTGGTGGCACTTGTGGCCTCCTAGGGTGGCCTCTGTCCCCTCCCAGAGTCCCCTTTGCCCCCTCCCTGAAGGATTCTGCTGTCCCCTCTGTCCCTTTGTCATCCCCTCGTCCCCTCTGCCACCCCCCGTTGTTCCCCCCTGTCACCTCTTCCCATCCTGCTATTCCCTCCTGTCCTCTTCTCAACCCCCGTCCTCTGCCGACACCCACATGTCCCCTCCTTACCCCACCGTCCCCTCCTGCCATTGCCTTCCCCCGTCTGCTCTGTCACCCCACTGTCCCCTCTGTCCCCTTCCCCCCACCACTCTGGGATTGTCTCACCTCGAGGGGCTCCATGGTCGCTGGGGACACCCCGGGGACACTCTGGGGACACCCCGGGGATACTCTGGGGACACTCTGGGTGACAAACACGCCCAGGTCACAGCTGGGGACACGCAGGAACGTGGCACGGCTGGATGGAGGAAGCAGGAAGAGGTGACGTCACTGCTCCCCTTCCTGTGGGGACAGGGCAGGGTCCCCAGTGTCCCCCTCTGTCCCCAATGGGACCCCAATGTTTTCTCAGAGTCCCCAACAAGGCCCAAGTGTCACCCAATGTCCTGTTGGGGACACACCTGTGTCCTGTTGGGGACACTGTGGGGACATAGGGAACATTGTGGTGGCCCAAAACGGGACAAGGGATATCAGGGTGGCCCCAGTGTCCCCAAGAGAAGGACACGGGGGTGTCCCCAAGGTCCCCAACAGGACCTCGGTGTGTCCCTGGTGTCCCCAGCTGGACATTGGGGGACACTTGTGCCTTTTGGGGGACATGGGGGCAACACCAGGGCCATGTGGGGACACTCAGAGGACATTGGGGTTCTGTTGGGGACATTGGGGGGACATTGGGGACCCCGTCCTGCCCCCTTAGCCAGGAGGTCAGGGGGGACAATGACGTCACCTCTTCCTGCTTCCTCCATCCGGCCACGCCATGCTCTGCCATGTCCCCAACTGTCACCTGGGCATGTTTGTCACCTGGAGTGTCCCCAGAGTGTCCCCAGAGTGTCCCTAGAATGTCCCCAAGGTGCCCCCAGTGGCCATGCATCTTCGCGAGGTGTGACAATCCCAGCGTGGAGGGACACAGGAGGTGACAGAGGGGACAGGCGGGTGTGACAGGATGGGGAGAGGTGACAGAGGGGTGGAGGGAACCGAGGGTGGCAGAGGGGAGGGGGAAAAACGAGAGGTGGCAGGGGGTGGCAGAGGGGACGAGGGGGTGACAAAGGGACATAGGGGACAGCAGAGCCCTCCAGGGATGTGCAAAGGTGACCCCGGGAGGGCACAGGGGCCACTGCAGGAGGCCACAAGTGCCACCAGGTCCCTGCCACCTCCCCTGTCCCCTCCCCAGCTGTTCCTGTCCCTGCTGGAGTAGCAGATCACCATGCTGGCCACCCAGGGCGAGGTGACAGCCACCATAACCGGGTCACACCAGGGACAGTGGCAGCCCGTGTCCCCAATGTTCCTGCCCGCACCCTGGGGAGCTTCACCTGGAGCCTCCGTGAGACCCTGGACCATGGCAATGTCACCTCCCTGGGCCAGGCCCTGGCCACCCTCAGGGCCACCCCAGGGGCCACCTGGGCCGATGTGAGAGACGCAGCCAAGGCCTGGCAGGAGTTGGTGGCCGTGCTCAGGGAGAGCTGGGAATGGCTGCTTCAGGAGGCC